TGCTACCCTTCATTTTAGGCCTATTTTGGGATACATTTAGAGAGAGAGAGAGAGAGAGAGGGTCCTAAAGGGAGAAGGGGTTCTTCATCAACATTCCTCCTAAGATCTTGCTTAAATCTTGAAGATTTTTCAGGAAAGGCACCTAGGTCTTCTTCCTAAAGGGTAAGGTTCTATAACCCAGGCTCTTCATTACTAGATATAACTAGGATAGACCATTAGAAGGGTAATCCATGAGGATGGGAGCGGATATCTTGCATGCATGAGTTCTTAAAGTATTTGGTGAGGCCTTGAGCTAAGGATAGGATGAGGGATGGTAGGATCTTTCACAAACAGGCTTTAAAAGCATAATGCACACTTAGTGTTTGAAATATGCTCAAATGAGCTAGAACTATGATGACCTCTCTAATTTGTGGTTCGATTTGTCATGTTCCTAAGAGATTGACGTTGCTAAGAGTCTCGGAGTATAGTAGGACTTAAGGAAAGCTCAATCGAGGTATGTAGGCTAAACTTTCTCTCTCGGAAGTGATTCCATATTGTTTTTTTATGTTTAAGTGTGGTGTGTCTACCAAAGTGGTATAGCCTTGAGTCACATTTTAAAACAAGGTTAGTATACTAATTGGGTGAGAAGAATTCGATCTGTTTAATGCTCCTAGCTGCTCTTATGTGTACTAAATGCCTTGATTGAATGTGTCTATTTGTTGATAAACTGTAAAGATGTTTGGAAATGAATCGAATGGGAAAAATGTGAAACAAATTGTGAAATAAGCCTCGCCCCAACTGTTAGGAACTAACTTCAAAAAAATATAGAATGTCGTAAAGGTCTTGTGCCCGAACTATGCCCATAAGTGGTTGTTCTAGATATTACTTTATTTTATAAATACATTCAATGTAATGCTAGTCCTTACACATTCCGATGTAGAAATTATACAATTGTCATGACGGGAAAAGAATAATTCAAGGATAATTGAGGTGATTTCTTGCTTATAGCTCCAATGTGTATTTCAATTATTGGTTGGCATGTCCCTCTTTTGGAAGAATCCCTTGTGTTTGATGTTTCCATTGCTAATGAACTCGAAATATATGATACCCAAAATATTTGGGACATTGATATTGGTTGATGATCCTTGGAAATAAAGGAGATGAAAATGTGGAAAACTAAAAAAAAATGCGGCCTTCGTGCCATGAAAAAGATGAACCTTGTGAAAGGCCCAAAGGGCCAAAGAAAAACTGTTATCGAGAGAGATTGAGAACATTAATAAAAGCTATAAAATGTGAAAGATATTGAGGTAAGCATAGTTGTATTATGCTATATTTGTATACTTGTACTTATACTACAATTGTGTGCCATATCCAATCAAATCAAAAATGTTTTTTTGGGAGTATCATTAGCGAAACCGAGGAAGGGTGAGTCATAAGGCTCATACCTGAAACTACACGTGCCGGTGTAGGGGTGGATCGTGGTTATTCCCCTTAACTGGGATGAACTTGGTAACATTTGTAAATTGGTAACGCCAACCCACACGGCATATGTGGGAAGGCAGCTTAGCCGATCGGGCCGTGATCGGACGCCATGCTACACACATGGTGGCATTGTGCTGGAAATCAAAACTAGAAATTCAAAACTGGAAATTGTGATTAAGGTACATGTCCCCAAAGGGACGACCTAGCCAATCGGGTCGTGATCGGACTCCGTGCTAACAAAGATGGTGGTATAACTCATATCGGTGTTAATGATCTCCCAACCAAAAATTATATGTTATTTTTGTAAACTACAAGACTTATATGTTTCAAATTGGATGCTTGTATGTTGTAGGTTTTGGCTTACTGTTTCATGGTTTCTTGCTTGTATGGTTATTCTATTCTGAAAGAGGACTTTTACCCTTACATACTAGTGCTATTCGACGGTGCTAACGCCCTTTTTGCCGAGGGCGCTGTATCGTTTAATGATACAGGTGGTTCCACAGCGAGCGACATCGGCCAATGATAGCGGCATTCTCTTCCCAGCAGACTTGGTGAGACCCACTCTATCCTGGGGTCATGTCATGTATCTTTTGTTCATTTTCTCATCACGTTTCGAGGTATAGCCGGAGCCTTATTGCCGACATTTCCCTATTACTATTCTATTGTATTTAGAGGCTCCGTAGACTGTTTGTGGGTGATGGTTGATGTTGGGAGTCAAGACTAGAAATGTTAGTATTTGATAAGCATGTTTTTCCTTAAGCTTGTAAACTTGTAATATTTTGAAAACTATGAATGAAGTCAGTAACGGAAATGAAGTGAAAGTTGCTAATGGAAGATTGCCTAGTGTTTGATAAATGGGATAACATTTCCTCTTTATTCATGAACTAGTTTGGGTAGAATGAAATCTAACAGGCTTGCTCAGTCGGGTTTACTCGGGTGAGTGTCGGTCACGTCATCATGTAAGGAGTCTTTCTCTCCTTATCCAATATGCAACCTTTTTTATCAGATCAGGAGATATTACTTCTGATAAGTTAGATTTATCTCCTTCACATGCATCTCACATGTTTGGGTCGATCATGACTGTGCTGCACAAAATGGACCTGGCCCATGTCTGAGTTGTTTTGTCAATCTTCAAAACTTCACATGTTCTTGGGCCAACAAATCTTCATGGACATAAGGCAGCCAGGAATTAAGTGATTCACTTAGTAGGTATAAAACAGCGTTGAGCATATAGAACCAGGACCCTAGTGTGTCAGAGTTCCCAAGGGCTTCAATAACCCAGGGCAGTGCTCGCACTAGGGAGGCTAATAGGAGAGATTCAGAGAATAACTAGGGACCAAGTCCTAGTGTGTCAGAGTTCACGAGGGTCTCAAATGAACCTTGAGCAGTGCTCACACTAGGGAGGTCAAAGGACAAAACCTAAGTAGCCTAGGTGTACGCGGTAAAATCAGATGACTCGATTTTCGCTATCAAGACAAACTTGGAAGCCTTCCTCGAGATCCTGAGGATAGGAGGCCACGGTCGAGTTCTCGGCCTCAGGGTTCGTCGAGGTCCGAATCAAAGGAAGCAGGGTCCGAGGTCAGGGTGAGAGGAGATGTCTCCAAAGCACATGGCTACACCTGACAGGGCCGGTCTATCTGTAACCTACTGAGATGACGTGCGATAGGCCATTTCATTTTTCTACTCTTGTAAATAATATATGCATATTTTACTGAGTCCCCTCGCCTATATAAATGGGACTCACCCCACCTTGTAAAGCACTGATGTTGCTCCATTTCTCCAATAAGCAATAATATCTCTCTCTATCTCTTTCTTCTAAGTTAACTGTGTTCTTCGACCCCGAGGTCGCCGTAGCATTTTATTGTTCTTGGTTTGTTCTTCGTCATTTAGCTCAAGATTGACGGTATAAAGCCTTATATACACATACTTATCTATTATCCCCTTCCAAACTACCCTCGATAATATTACCTCCGATAGGCTCGAGGTAGGCTCGAAGACTGGCCCCGAGGTATCTACTGGCTTGTTCTAAGCCCAGGAACACCCCCCTTACTAGTTCGAATGTTATTTTGGCTAGCTTGATCTTTACTGTCTTACTCCATATTTAACACTAATCACCCTTCCAAACTAGCTTGGGAATAGATCACATATTTTTAGAATCCCATTTATAAATTTAATTGTCGTTACAATTTTCACGGTAAATAGTTTGGCGCCCACCATGGGGTTAAAAATAATAGTGATTATTTTCTTGCTAGTTTTGTCATTTAAACGCTCGATATCTCTCACACCTTTTCTTGCCCAAGATCTCCGCTTTCAGGACCGAACATTCTGCTCGATCGACAAAATGAGAAGCTGGATCGACCCGATGGCTCTTACCCGAAGAAACCCTCATATTCGCCGAGGAAGACCGCGAGGCCATGGGAGAACCACAACATAATGACGCACTGGTGATAGAAGGATAAAGTGCGTGCTCGTAGACCCGGGCAGCTCAGCCAACGTAATCAGGTCCGTAGTGATAGAACAGTTGGGATAGCTCAGTCAAATTAACACCGTTCCTCGAATCCTCCACGGTTTCAACATGATCGGGGAAGAAACGAAAGGAGAAATCACCCACCCAATCAACATATCTGGTACGACCCAGAGCACCAAATTTCAGGTCATCGACTGCGACATGAGGTACAACGCTTTGCTTGGTAGGCCTTGGATACACGATATGAGGGCAGTGCCCTCTACCTTACATCAAGTGGTGAGATTCCCCACGAAAAATGGCATCACAACAATACATGGAGAATAGCGGACGACAAGAGAAATGTTCGCGGTTCACCGTGAGCCATCAACTCCCGCACACTCGGCCTCAAACGAGGAAAAAAGCATGCAAACCATCGGAGATGACGAGGAGGATTTCTTTGTCCCCCAAACTTTCGTCGCCCCCGAAGAGTCGAACGCAACCAAATCAACGGTCGAAGAATTAGAGCAGACCATTCTAATCGATAACCTCCCGGACCGCAAGATATGACAGGTATCCCGCCAGAAATAACCTCCCACCGACTGAGCGTCGACCCCAAATTCAAACCCGTGAAGCAGAAAAGGAGGCCACAGTCCGAGGTAAAACACGCCTTCATCAAAGAAGAGGTAATGAAACTCTTAAAAATCGGGTCCGTCAGGGAGGTAAAGTATCCCGAATGGCTAGCTAACGTAGTAATAGTGCCAAAGAAAGGGAATAAGCTAAGAATGTGCGTAGATTATAAGGATTTAAACAAAGCATGCCCCAAAGATTCTTTCCCGCTGCCCAACATTGATCGTCTGATCGATGCCGCGGCCGGCCACGAGACCCTCACCTTCCTTGATGCTTACTCGGGGTATAATCAGATTCAGATGAACCCCGAGGAAAGGGAAAAGACTCATTCATCACGAAGTATGGCACATATTGCTATAATGTGATACCCTTCGGACTAAAAAATGCAAGACCAATGTACCAATGCCTAGTTAATAAGATGTTCGAACACCAAATAGGAAAATTGATAGAAGTATACATTGACGATATGTTAGTAAAATCCCTGCGCGCAGAGGATCACCTGACCCATTTGCGGGAAACTTTTGACATCCTCAAAAGCTACAACATGAAGCTCAACCTCGAAAAGTGCGCCTTCGGAGTAGGCTTGGGCAAATTCCTGGGCTTCATGGTCTCAAACAGGGGGATCAAGATCAACCTCGACAAAATAAAGGCCATCGAAGAAATCACAGTGGTAAATAACGTAAAAGTCGTCCAACGACTGACTGGGCGGATCGCAGCCCTAGGCAGATTCATATCAAGGTCATCGGACAAAAGCCATCACTTCTTTGCCCTACTCAAAAGAAAGAGCAAATTCGAATGGACTCCGGAATGCCAAGACGCCCTGGAAGAGCTGAAACGGTACCTGTCAAGCCCACCCTTGCTACACACTCCCAAAGAAGATGAAACGGTGTATCTATACCTGGCTGTATCCAAAATAGCGGTGAGCGGTGTATTAGTCCGGGAAGATCAAGGTACGTAATTTCCTGTATATTATGTAAGTCGAACCTTGGGGGATGCCGAAACCCAGCATCCCCATCTAGAAAAATTGGCACTCGCACTAATAAGTGCTTCGCGTAAGCTAAAGCCTTACTTTCAGTGCCACCGCATCTACGTCCTATCAACCTATCCCCTCCGGAGCGTACTGCACAAACCTGAGCTATTGGGCCGACTGGTCAAATGGGCCATCGAGCTCGGAGGGTATGATATCGAATATCTACCTCGAACAGCCATCAAATCCCAGATCATAGCGGATTTCGTGGCCGATTTTTTGCCATCCCTGGACCCCGAGGTAGAGAAGGAACTTCTATTGAAGTCAGGCATATCTTCGGGGCTGTGGACCCTGTTCACGGACGGTGCCACAAATGTCAGAGGATCAGGACTCGGTATAGTCCTGAAGCCGCCCATCGGCGGCGTAATCCGACAATCCATAAAACATGCGAAGCTAACTAACAACGAAGCCGAGTATGAGGCTATGATTGCAGGTCTAGAGTTGGCCAGGGGCTTGGGGGCCGAATCCATCGAGGCAAAATGTGATTCGCTCCTTGTAGTAAGTCAAGTAAACGAAAGCTATGAAGCTCGGGAAAATAGAATGCAGAGGTATCTGGATAAAACCCAAGTCACCTTGCACCGCTTCAAGGAATGGACCTTAGTCCATGTGCCCCGAGAACAGAACAGCGAGGGTGATGCCCTAGCAAACCTAGGATCGTCCGCCGAGGAGGAAGACCTGCTCCCCGAGGCCGTGGTCCAGCTAATCAAGTCCGTAGTCGAGGAGGGTCGCGTGGAAATAACTCCAGTAGCCTGACATGGGATTGGAGGAACAAATACATCACCTATCTGAAAGACGGGAAGCTGCCCGCCGACCTGAAAGAATCAAGAGCCCTGCGAACTAGAGCGGCCCGATTCTCGCTCGACGAAAGCGGGGCCCTGTATAGAAGAATGTTCGACGGTCCCCTAGCAGTGTGCCTTGGACCAGGAGACACGGATTACGTGCTCCGAGAGATCAACGAGGGCACATACGGAAACCACTCCAGGGTAGACTCCTTAGTCAGAAAGGTAATCCGAGCAGGTTACTATTGGGATAGCATGGAAAGGGATGCCAAGGAGTTCGTCCAGAGATGCGACAAGTGTCAAATATTCTCCCCCATGATCCACCAACCCGGGGAACAATTACATTCCGTCCTTTCACCATGGACATTCATGAAATGGGGAATGGATATCGTTGGCTTTTTGCCAACCGCACCAGGTAAAGCTAGGTTCATTCTGTTTATGACTGATTACTTTTCAAAATGGCTCGAAGCGCAGGGCTTCAAAAAAATAAGAGAGAAGGAAGTCATCAACTTCATATGGGAACACGTCATATGCCGGTTCGGGATCCCGTCCGAAATAACATGCGACAATGGGAGACAATTCATTGGGAGCAAGGTAACTCAGTTCCTAGAGGACAACAAAATCAAAAGGATCCTTTCAACGCCGTATCATCCGTGCGTAAACGGCCAGGCCGAATCCACAAATAAAAGTATCATCCTAAACTTGAAGAAGAAATTAGAGAGCTCCAAGGGAAAGTGGCGAGAGACTCTACCCGAGATATTATGGGCATATCGGATGACTTCAAAATCAAGTACGGGCGAAACGCCTTTCTCTCTAGTGTACGGTGCTGAAGCATTAATACCTGTAGAGGTTGGAGTGCCAAGCGCTAGATCCCGACACGCCGGCGAGGAGACAAACCACGAGACCGTGACAACAGCCCTCGAAGTACTCGACGAAAGGCGGGAGGCCTCGCTGGTTTGGATGGCTGCCCAGAAGCAGAAAATCGAAAGATATTACAACCGGAGAACAAACCTCAGATATTTCAGCATCGGGGACTTGGTCCTAAGGAAGGTTACTCTCAACACTCGGAATCCCAACGAAGGGAAGCTAGGCCAGAATTGGGAAGGGACGTATCGCATCCTCGGAATCATTGGCAAAGGCTCATATAAACTTGGCACCATGGAAGGCGAGCAGCTCCCGAGCAACTGGAATGTGTCGATGCTCAAACGATATTACTGTTGATACCCAATTTTTCCCTATGTATTTTTTCGTACCCAAAATACTTCCAAAATAGCATATTTGTGCATATATAAGCACACCCATGAGTTTTGATATTTTTTGATGATTTTTAAACCAATTTATTGCCTATTTTTATACCATAAAATCCAATAATTATTCCCAAA